CCAAACACACTCTGTGCTGTCAGCACACAGCCCAGCGTGGTGCTCAACCCCAGGAACAATGAAATCATGACCTGAGCCAAAACAAAGAGTCAGCTGCTTAATTGACTCCGCCACCCAGGACTGCCAAGAAGAGCATAGTTCTGATGACGTCTTCCAGTTGCCTATTTTCTCCCACCACTGGATTTAGGGCAGGCCAGGGGAGCAGGGCAGACACCCTCACCTCTGCCCAGAGCAGCACCCTCTTTGTTTACGCACCTTGATGTGGTCCTGCGATCCTTGTGGTTTTTTCCTTCCATGTTATCTTGGGGGCATGATTCCCTTATCTTGGGCAAACTAATTGATAAATGGTGAGGAGCATAGGGCAGGGAGATGTGTGTGAATGCAGAAATGGAAGAATGTCAGTAAAGAGCCTTACACGTAAATAATGGGCATAACTCATTTGTGTGTCGTTAAGCTTCACTGGGGCCATGCTGCATGCTCTTGCAAAATCTCCACAACTTCCAGTTTACAGATGAGGAAATAGGCTCACAGAGGCTCCATGCATGAACCTGTGTCTCAGTGTAGGCATCTGTGAAGTTTGCATATTTTGTGTCCCCAATCCATCACCAAGTTCTATTAACTAGGACCCTCTAAATAGCTCTCCAATCTATCCCTCTATACCCTTGTCAGTACCAACAACACTATCTCCCCCAGTCAAGCCCTGTAGCCATGGCCTCCTAACTGATCTCCTTCAGGCTTTTTGCACCCTCTGATTCTGTCTCTGTCTTTTGGAAATTTAAATCTGAACATGTCAGCCTATTCCACAACTATTAAGATTTTGTTGTGACTCCCAATGATCTTAGGATAGAGACATAATTCCTTAATGTGGATTACAGAGTCCTGTGTAGATACCTCTACCCATTCTGCCCCATGACTCATGATTTCCTCCCTCTTCTCTGTGTTCTAGCCTCATTGGTCTTTTAGTTCTTGTACTTGACATCTCTCTCCTGCCACAGGGCCTTTGCATTTGCTCTACCTTCTGCCAGATCCATTCCTGCTGGTCCCTGTGCCTAATTAACTCCTATTCATCCTTCAGAACTCAGTTCAAACTGTTACCACTTGCTAGGTCACACCCCCAATAGACATTCTTATAGCACCTTTTACCTTTTTTTCCCCAGGTCATTAAATACAATTGCAGCTTTATAATTGTTTGATTAGTTGATGAAAACTTGTTTATTTTTGCACTAGACTGTAAGTTCCATGAAGGCAGGGACTGTATTTCTTTTGGATCACCAGTCTCCAATACTGAGCATAATTCTTGGCCTCCTGGAGGAGCTCATAAAATCTTTGTTACTAAGTGACTGGGTTAGTGAACAAAACTCATTGTTTTCTGATCTGGTTCCTTTTCCTGAAAGGGCTCCCAGACTCTTCAAGAAGATAGGATGGAGGAACTATCATAATAATGCTTTCCATTATTATGTGTAACAGGTCATCAAAGTAAGAGCTAAGTCTATAGGCATATTAGAGGCCTCCCTGCCACTCATTTCCACCTCTTCCAAAGAAGCCCAGAAGGGAAACCACTGCAGAGAAATCCCTGGACTAACCTTTGGCAGACAGAGCCTCACCAGGAAGGCAGGGAGAGTGAGAAGGCAAAGGAAGGGAATGGGTATTTACCAAGAAGGGACTCTGATTTGGACATCATGTTTTCATCTATCAACTCATTTATTCCTCCTCAAAAACCACATGTTGTAGATGAGAAAATAGACTCAAAGAGGTTTTGAAATGTGTGGGTTATAAAACTAGTACAGGGCAAAAAGCTGAGTGTGAACTCACATCTGTCAGCCTTCGTCTAAAGTCTGGGCTTTTCCAGGCCACTTTCCTGGCCTCCAGCCCTCAAATACCACCCCCCCCCCACTGTTATCTTTGAGCCCCAAAGTTTTTCATCATTAAAGACTCATCTATTGGCCACTATCTAAAGCTCTCTTTTGTAAGTCATTGTATGATGGTTGAAGTCGATACACTGGAAACAGAAACTCAACACTGTAAAGGCAACTACTGCAAGACCTAAAAATAAATCTATAAACAAGATCCCATATTGAACTCGAGTTGGAAGAGGCGAGTCTGGTCTTAAAACGGAGGTAAAACCGCCACCTGGTCGCCCCCAGCCCGACTCCAGCTGTCGCTGCCACCGCTGGGAACAGGGCCATGATCCAAAGGAACAAGAGTTTATTGGTGGTTTGAGCTTTGAAACTACAGATGATAGTTTATGAGAACATTTTGAAAAATGGGGCCCACTTACAGATTGTGTGGTGGTGAGACACCCCCAAACAAAACGTTCTGGGGGGGGGTTGGTTTTGTGACCTACTCTTGTGTGGAGGAGGTGGATGCAGCAATGTGTGCTCAACCACACCAGGTTGCTGATGGGCTTGTAGTGGAACCAAAGACAGCTGTTTCTAGAGAAGATTCTGTAAAGCCTGGTGCCCATCTTAGTTGTGAAGAAAATTTTCATTGGTAGTATTAAAAAAGATACAGAAGAATATAATTTGAGAGGCTGCTTTGAAAAGCATGGCAAGATGGAAACCATAGAAGCTATGGAGGACAGAGTGGAAAGAAGAGAGGGTTTGCTTTTGTAACTTTTGATGAACACGATACAGTGGATAAAATTGTTGTTCAGAAATACCACACTATTAATGGGCATAACTGTGAAGTGGAAAAGGCCCTTTCTAAACAAGAAATGCAGTGTGCTGGATGGCAAAGAGGTCGTGGAGGTGGATCTGGCAACTTCATGGGTCGTGGAGGAAACTTTGGAGGTGGTGGTAACTTTGGTGGACCAGGATATGGAAACCAAGGCGGTGGATATGGTGGCGGTGGTGGAGGATATGATGGTTACAATGAAGGAGGAAATTTTGGAGGTGGTAACTATGGTGGTGGTGGGAACTATAATGATTTTGGAAATTATAGTGGATGACAGCAAACTATGGACCCATGAAAGGGGGCAGTTTTGGTGGAAGAAGCTCAGGCGGTCCCTATGGTGATGGCTACGGCTTTGGTGGTGGAAGTGGTGGATATGGTAGCAGAAGGTTCTAAAATTTTTCAGAAGGAAAGGAGAGAGAACGAGGAGTTGTCAGGAAAGCTGACAGGTTACCTTGAGATGGTCCCAAATGCATTAGAGGAACCGTAAAAATCTGTCACAGAGAAGGAACAATGCTGCATAGTCAGAAAATTTATTGCAGCTTAAACAGGAAACCCTTCTTGTTCAGGACTGTCATAGCCAGTTTGCAAAAAGTGCAGCTATTGATCAATGCAATGTAGTGTCAATTACATGTATATTCCTGAGCTCTTTTTTCTGTTGTGGCTTTTTCTTTTTCTTTTTCTTTTCATTACCTCAGGGATATTGTCCTGTAAATGGTGGTAGTAGTACCAGGAATAAAAAATTAAGGAATTTTTAACTTTTCAATATTTTGTAGTTCAGTGTTTCTACATGTTAGTACAGAAACTTGAACAAAATGCAGTTTTGAAGGTGTTTCCTTATGAGTTAATAAGTAAAGAAGAAGGTCATTGTTAATTACTATTTTGTATGAATTTTGCTAAAGTTAACTGTAAAGAAACACCTGCTGACTTGCAGTTTAAGGGCAATCTGTTCTCTGCATTTCCAAACCATGAAATGAATGGGCTCTGACATGTAGAGAGAATAGATACTGGTACGTTTGCAATGTGTGTTTTAGATAAATAGAACTGGTATTTAAATTAGCATATTTGTGAATTGAATAGCATTAAGATTTACCTTCAAATGAAAAAAATCTCAAAATTAAAAAAAGAAAAATATATATGACAGAGATTAGAATGTGGAAAGTAAAAGGGGATGACAAATTTCTCATCCTTCATATTGAGGAGACAAGAGATATTGCCTAAAATGGACAAATACGTGATGTTACACAAAGGGATAATGGTGATTACATGAGAATTAAAAACAGAAGCTCTTGATGGGGTTGCTTCTGGGGAGTGGAGCTGAGGAAAGGAGAGAAACCTTAATTTGTCATTTGTTTGTCCTTCTGAGCTATGCTTTTTTAAAAAAAAATTATAGTGTTCTGTAACTTCTAAAAAGTTTAGAATATTTTTGTTACAAAAGACTAAAGAAACTAACAAACATACCCTTCGCTTAGAAGGCAGGTACTGTGTGTTTAAAACTATTAGTCTTGACACCTGGGTGGGAGGTAGGTCTTCGGGTTTCCTGTGAGTCAGGAAGGACTTGAGTCAGGGGAGGGTCATGTGATGAGAAATATGGCTTCCCAAGCAGTTGCCTTTGGGGAACGGGCATGGGAGACAAGCTTGATAAATTTACCTTCGCAAGCACAGGGCCAGGCTGACAGAGGAGCACCTCTTCCTTCACATATTTCGTAAGGCAGCTCACGTTCAGACACACCCAGACACAAGAGGGTACTGACCCTATGAGGGCCAGAGATAACCATCCCTCTGACTACCTCCGGTGAGACTCTGCCCCCACCAGTGCCACACTCAGAGCAGGACCTCCTCCCTGCCTGGGCCCCTGCTCCAGCGGTATCCATCTGATTCCAGCTCCTCAGAGACTAGGTAGATCTAGTCCCAGGAAGATGGGATGTCAAGGGCTCTCAAGTGAGTGTGACTCAGGTCTTGTTCCAGAACTGGCCATAGAGCAGCAATCAGAGCCCCGCACCCCCGGGACCCAAGGATCCCTTCTTCCTCCTGAGGATTGGCACCCTCTTGACCTTTGCTTATCTGAAGTTTATATCACTTTGGGCAAGAGCAGCTACAAAAGAGGAGGGCTGGGGCACAGCTCGGGACTGCCACTCACTGGCAGCCAAGAGCCAGAAGATTGCCATTTCCAGCATGAGAGAAAGTCCTATTGATCTTTGACCCTCCGCCTCTCCTGGAGCCTTGGCCCTCCCTCCCTCCCCCTTTCTTTTTTCCCTGCTGGCCTCTCCCTCTGTTCTCTGTCTCCTCACTTCCCTGGCACCCTTGTTCTGACTGGCCGTTTCCCCCAGGTTCTTGTTCACACCAGTCCTTCCATGCTGTCTTCAAGCCCTCCTTCCTGCACATCTCCCAACCCTGATGGAGAGAACCCAAATAAGAAGGTCCAGTGGACTTCTGGGAGGAGGAGGACGTCATCCACAGGCTCAGAGTCAAAGTCCCACCCCGACTCCTCCAAAGTACCCAGGTCCCGGAGACCCAGCCGGCTGACGGTGAAGTATGACCGGGGCCAGCTCCAGCGCTGGCTGGAGATGGAGCTGTGGGTGGACGCGCAGGTTCAGGAGCTCTTCCAGGTGAGTGATACGGAGCAGGGCGGGAGGCCACAGGGGGCCTGGGAGAGAGCCTGCTGGGAGACCTGCCTCCCTCCTGGTCTGGGCTCTGCCTCTAACTCTCCTCAGAATCTGGGCCAGGTCTTTTAACCTCTCCGAGACTTAGTTTCCTAATCTATAAGATGAGCCTATCCATGCCCGTCATAGCTCCTTTGTAGGACTTTTTTGAAGCTCAAGTGAGATAGAAGGGTGATTTTTATTTATTTTATGTCTTTACTTACTCTCATCCTTTTAAAAAAATTTTTAAAGTGTTTTATTTCTTTCTGAGAGAGAGAGACAGCGCAAGCAGGGGAGGGTCAGAGAGAGAGGGAGACATAGAATCTGAAACAGGGTCCAGGCTCTGAGCTGTCAACACAGAGCCTGACGCGGGGCTCAAACCCACAAACCATGAGATCATGACCTGAGCCTAAGTCAGACGCTTAACCGACTGAGCCACCCAGGCGCCCCACTTACTCTCATCCTTACCACACATACATGTCAAGAGCTACATTGTCCAGTACTATAGCTACATGTAGCTATTTGCTTTTAAATTAATACAAATTAAATAAAATTAAAGGTTCATTTCCTCAGTCACACCAGCCACATTTCAAGTGCCCAGTAGCCCCATGTGGCTCGTGGCCTCCATACTGTTAGCACACAGATAGAGCATTTCCATTCTCTCAGAACGGACAGCACTGGACTAGAACAAGTCCTTGGCCCTGGCTCTGACGGACTCCCCTCACTTCCACCCTGGGAACAGGCCGGCTCTCTGCCCCTTGTCATGAGAAGTGGCACTTTCCTCCTTAGATAACTAAAAATCGGGATCCTAGAGTAGTCCCAACTGCCACTTCAGCAACAAGAATAACATTCTGAACACTTAACTCTGTGTTAGGCACTGCGCCCGGCACTTGGCATGCATTACCCCATTTGGCCCTCCCCACATCCCCCTTTGGTAGCTATGTTTTAGCTCGAAGGAAATGGAAGCCTAGAGATGAGTAACAAGTCCAAGGTCACGCAACTAGGAAACTAGGAGACCAGGAGCTGCAGCTGGGGCAGAGCCCCAGGGGCACTTTCTTGAGCAGCTTAGTGGTTCTCCAGCCCTAAAGTACTTCAGAAAAAACTGGCTGACCTGACTGTGACTCAACTAACTTTAAATCTACAAGGGTGGAGCCCAGGCACTGGCCTTTTTAACAAGCCTCACAGTTAATTCTAGGATGGGGCTGGCTGAGAACTACGGTACCAAGCCAGAGACCAGGAGCTTCCTTGTCCATATACTGTGGTCCTTCTTTCTCTTCCTCCTAAATTTTCTTTCTGGGGCAGCAAGGGGCATGCCATTCTTCCAGGTAAGGACTGTGTCAGTGGCCCCGTGGTCGGGGGTGGGGGCGAATGATGCATGTGGCCCAGGCTGTCTTGTGAAGCTCACTGGGTCACGTATCAGTTTGGCCCAGGTGTCGACCATGTCCCCTGCAGCATCCTGGGCCCACTTGTTCAGTGTAGGGAGATGCCCTGGAGTTGTGAGCAGGAGAGGCCCATGTTCTTGGCCTGCCCTTGGAGAACGCCTCTATGGCCCTTCCATCCTCCCGATGCCCTCCCTCTGGGGATCAGTTTTACTTTCAGGTTGTTGTACACTTGCATAAAAAGTGTCTTATTTCAGACACCTCAGAGCACATTTTTCCAGGCATCACAGAAAGACAATAGACAAAGAACCTGGTTTTGCAAGACCAGTGCAGGGGGGGAAACTGTACAATAATGAGCTCATAACATTGGAAAGCAGGATATGTGGGAGGACCACTCCCAGGCAATGACTGAAATAAAATACCTGGCCTGCAGTTGCCATGGCAATTGTCCAAAGGTGCCAGGTGCCAGTTCCTCTCCCAATCCCAGCACTTTTCAGCAGGAAGTAGCCAAGTGGCTGGGGAATCCCCAGGTGGCTGGTCATCTTGGGCAGAGATGGAGGCAACAATGTCCAGGCTTACCTTGCCCCAGTTCTACCTGTATAGAGTCTTTCTGCACCCACTAGGGTCTCCTCGGCATGCCCACCTTGGATAGCATCCCTGGGGAATGATTCCAGGGATGCATCACTACTTGTTTAGTTTGGTTTAATGGGTCCCAACCTTGCTCTGTTGGAAGGCCCCACCTCTTCTCACTGGGGACGCAGCAGCTCTGTTGTCTTCAGAGGAACCAAGTCTGGGTTCAACAAAACAGACCTGCGGCCCTAGAGCTCCTCTTGTCCAGAGGTGGAGTGTGGACTTGGCTTCAAAGGAAGGATGTAAACACTCATGTGTTTGTCCTATTTTAAGAAGACTCTTGGGACACCTGGGTGGCTCAGTTGGTTAAGCGTCCAACTTTGGCTCGGGCCATGATCTCGTGGTTTGTGAGTTCGAGCCCGACACTGGGCACTGGACTGACAGCTCGGGGCCTAGAGCCTACTTCAAATTCCGTGTCACCCTCTCTCTCTGCCCCTCCCCCCCCTCAAAAATAAATAAACATGAAAAAAATTTTAAGGAGACTTGCCCAACAATGTGCCTCCCCCAGTTCCCACCTCTGATTTCATGTCTCCTTTATGACAAGACTTCTTAAAAGTTTGTCCATACTCACATCCTTTCTTTAAAAGGTTTATTTATTTATTTTGAGAGAGAGAAAGAGAGAATATAAGCCAGGGAAGGGCAGAGAGGGAAAGAGAGAGAATCCCAAGCCGACCTCATGCTGTCGGCACAAAGCCAGTCTTGGGGCTTGGACTCAGAAAATGTGAGATCATGACTGGAGCCAAGATCAAGACTCAGATGCTTAACTGACTGAGCCACCCAAGCATCCCCACACTCACATCCTTTACTTACCTTTCCCCTTCCTTTCACCATTCAAACCACTGAAACCTGACTTCTCTTCCCACCATTCTACTGAGAGCTCTTGCCAAGGTCACCAATCACTGCCTTGGGGCCAAATCTAATGTACACATCAGCAGGGGACACTGTTGACCACCCCAGAGTTTTGAAACATTCCACCCCCTATAGTTTCTATGACACTATCTTTTCCTGGCAGCAGCTGGCATTTTGATGTGGCCCTTCTGATTTGGTGATGTTATAAAAAACATTAGACTTCCAACTTTAAAATAGTATTGTTAACAAATATGTGCAACAAACACTTGTTAGCTCATCCCTGAGCCTTTCTTCACTGCTGGTTCCCATGAGAGAAAGATCAGGAGTACAGGGACAGAACATGGAGTGAAGGCAATAAAGGAGTCAGATCAGGCAGCATCTGGCAAGAAACGCTACCAGCAATATCGACTCAATTTTACCACACTTGTTCATCTCAGCAGTAGTTGCTTGATATATCCACTCGTTCTGAGAATTTAAAAAATACTTTAGGGAAAGAATATTTGGATTATGATATCAGTGCATATTCTCAACTCCAGACTTCAGTGGTAATGTGAATCACAGTAATATACATACCTCATATTCAAAATATGTGTAGTTAATATCATAAGTGATATGAAGAGGGTTTGGGGAGCCTGACCAATACTTTTTTAGAGGTAGAGGGGCGCCTGGGTGGCTTAGTCGGTTAAGCGTCCGACTTTCGCTTAGGTCATGATCTCGCGGTTCGTGGGTTCGAGCCCCGCGTCGGGCTCTGTGCTGACTGCCAGCTCGGAGCCTGGAGCCTGTTTCAGTCTGTGACTCCCTCTCTCTCTGACCCTCCCCTGGTCACGCTGTCTCTCTCTCTTTCTCTCTCTCTCCTAGAAATAAATTTAAAAAAAATAAAATAAAAATACTTTTTTAGAGGTAGAATTCTAATAATTAGGATGCAGCTTTACTATTCTGCCCCACCCTCCACCTTCTGGGATTCCAATTGCACATATGTTAGACCACTTGATATTGTACCACAGGTCACCAAGTCTCTTTAGTCATCTTTCTCCCCTAAGGTTTTTTTTCTTTCTGTGTTTCATTTTGGCTAGTTTCTGTCTCCGTATCTTCAAGCGCAACTGATCTTTATTTTGGCAACGTCAAATATGTTGTTACCTCCATCCAGTAAATTTTTCATTTAAAATACTGTATTTTTCATCTCTGGATGCTCCATTTGTTTTTGTTTTTTTCTCATTTATTTCATTTTGCTCATTAGTGTGTTCATTATTAGTGTTTTCCTCATCTGCTAATTCTGTCATGTGTGGGTCTATTTCTATTAACTGATAAATCATATTTCCTGCTTCTGGTATGACTAGTGATTTTTTGCCTGGATACTGGACATTTTATGAGTTTCATGTTACTGACTAACTAGATTTTTTTCTTCCTTTAAAGCATTGGGCCTTGTTTTAATAGGCAGTTTAGTTACTTGTGGCTCAGTTTGATCCTCCTGAAGCTTATTTATTTATTTATTTATTTTTATTTCCTTATTTCTAGGAGAGAGAGAGAGGGACAGTGTGAGCAGGGGAGGGTCAGAGAGAGAGGGAGATACAGACTCTGAAACAGGCTCCAGGCTCTGAGCCGGCAGTCAGCACAGAGCCTGACGCGGAGCTCGAACCCACGAACCGTGAGATCATGACCTAAGCGAAAGTCGGACGCTTAACCGACTAAGCCACCCAGGTGCCCCACCTGAAGCTTATTTTTAAGCTACATTGAGTCTAGAGTATCCTTTAATCTAGAGAATAATTTAACCCCCAGGAAGGTAGGACCTTCTGAGGTCTCTACTGAATTCCTTCATGATCAGTGAGGACTGTCCACTCTGGCTAGATGGAACTTGATTTGTCTCCCAGTCCTGGGTGAGGTCTGGGAACTGTTCATTTCTGTGCCTTTGGTGCCTCATAGTACCTGGCTTTGAATGTGCATCTTGTGTTCAGCAAAGACTCAAGAGAACCCTTATGCAGATTTCCGGAGGTCTCTTTTCATAGCAGCCTCCTCTCCAAAACTTTATCTAGCAACTTCCAGCCACCTCAACCCTGAACTCTGATCTCTGTCATATCAATTTAGCAAGACCCCTGTGCTCCCTTTGGGAAC